TATGAAAATTTCGGCAGCATGCCCTAGAAATCAGAAGAATCACCAATAATCTGCTAACTATCCATCATTTCAGAAAAATAGCATTGCCTGTGATGCGGGTTAATGTGGCGCGGGTTTTCGAAGATGCAGATTACGTAAAAGTGCGCAATATGTGCGATAACAACCAAGGATGGCGTGAGGTAAACGTTGTGCCACCATAAATCCAGTTTTCAAAAAAATTCAACGTATTTTTATAACTGAAAATGATTATTTCTTGCCACTGTTTTTTAAGACTAGGAGAAAAAGAAACAGAAATTCAAGCTGTCAAATCTCTCAATAAATGCTTCAGGTTTACTACAAAAAAATGGTTACCATATATACGCAATCAGTGCCAGGCAGCAGTTTTCAAATGATTAAAGTAGGTACACCTATCCTCCAACTGCATTGGCACTGAAGCTTTTTCGTTTTCAAAATTCACTCTTAAAGGCTGTAGCGAAGTTCCCTGATGTGTCTCCTAGTGTTGCCTATGATGTGCTGCACGACTCAGCCTATCGAGCTCGTTGGGATCGCCACATGGCTGCACAACGCTATATTGGAATGATCAACCCGAATAATGATATTGGTTACTATGCTTGTGAGTTATTTTTGTCTGAAAGAATGTTTTTCTTCCTTTGTGTAAAATTCAAGAAGTTTCAGTGACGGGAATTCCACCAGTTCGTGCTCGTGATTTTGTGATGCAACGTTCATGGCTTGACACTGGAAATGAGAAACTAATTTGTAGCCATTCGGTTTGCCATCAGGTGAAGGAGTAGTTCATTAATTCAATTAAACTGACAGAATGGACCAAATTTGCAAAAGCCGATGGAAAATCTTATTTTTCAATGGTGTGAGGTAAATTGCTGCATAGTAGAGGAGCAAGGCAGCGAATACACGGAACAAGTAGACGGAATGCTCAGAGTTTTAGGAGACCAGTCTTAGGAGTAAATGTGGACCAGAGAGAACTTTCAAAATTGTCGGATATCTCGTTTGGTAGGGGGTTACGTCTCGCTCCGCCGACGTTCGAGTCCTGTTTTGAGCTACGCCAGCACACTGTAGATTCAGAAGGGCCAACTTTCTTGAACTTGGTATGGAATAATTGATTTCGTCTTCAACATCAAAGGTTAAAATACGACAGACTAAACATTGTAAAAGTAAGACTCTATACCCGCTAAACACTGACGACATGGCACTTGGTTATCGTAAAACTATTCTCGTAAATTCCATTTTTATGCCTCTCTACACTTTTCACCCATGTGTTGACGTCGCAACAGTTCCTCTTATAGGATTATCCTCCTATGAAAGGTTATATTCGCGGGACTGCCTTACTCTGTGCCTATCTCGTTCGGCCATATGATAGGGAAGGATGTCAGATCACTTACCTTAGCCATTCAGATCCAAAAGGTAGGAGTATATGTCGAAAGCATGAAAACTCTTATTATTTGAGGGAAACCTTTTAGGAAAATTGCCCACTTGGTTAGTGAATCGTCTAACACGTGTGGTTGCCCCTAAAGTAGTTAAGAGATTACATAAGGCATGTCTTGCCTATCCAGAATGGAAGAAACGCAATCAGCCCTCTTTGAAACCTTGGATTTACGCTGAACAGCAGGTAAGTGCTCTTTTCAGCGTTTGGATCTTCACCTCCTTAGTCTTTTATGCTTCAGGTCGACTTTCCTCGAGTGGATTTGGCAAAATGTCAGCCACAAGATTACGAGCAAGAGATCATTGATGAATCGAATGCACCTCCCCTAAAGGATGACGATGAAGAAGATGAATAGTGCCCCACCGCTCACTGTCATATTACTGTTTCTTCCATTCCTCATGTGTACATTATTTCAGCCTACCCCATTCCACAATATGTACAGTGTCCCACTATTAACTGAGATACCTGTTCGAGTGCAATAGTACTAACTTCTATGTACTTAAAAACATATCATCGTCAACTATTACTTCCGTGAATAATCTTCTTCCATACAGTTCTGTAAACGACCAATTTTTATGTGGGTCTAAGTTGTGATACCTTAACAATATCTGTCAAGAAGTGCTCGATTAAATTTCATAAATATGACTTGTATTGAAGAATGCAGGCAGCTTTATTTACTGTTAATGGTAAATTCCATGTGTGGAAGAATTCTCACCTTTGTTTATTCAAAAAAAATCTACTGCCGTTTTTAATGATCCTTATTGAGAGGATTTCTCAAGGGAGGCCGAAGAAAATGCCATTGAAGGTTGATTTGGCAAATGTAGGCATAGTTCTTC